TCAAAGCTAGTGTTATTGGGTTTTTATTTTACTATTAATAAAAGGGGCTTTAACGTTTTTTATGAATCTTCTCAAGTAGGACATGGTTTCATGAGTGATGGTATGTTTCAACTTAAATTGAATCAAACTGAATATGTTTTCAACGTACAAGATGATAAAATCAAAACTCAACAGTCTTCAATATTATGGCATAAGAGACTCGGCCATATTTCTAAACAAAGAATGGAGCTGCTTGTCAAAAACGAAATTTCTACCTCCATTAAACTTCAATGACTTTGAATTTTGTGTGGATTGCATTAAAGGGAAAATGACAAAACACTAGAAAGGAAGGCTCAACTAGGAGTAAGCAACCCTTAGAGATCATTCACACGGACATTTGTGGTCCTTTTCCCACACAAAACCTTAGAAGGAAACAAATATTTCATTACTTATATTGATGATTTCTCAAGATTTTGCTTCATTTATTTGATTTCAGAAAAGTCTAAAGCACTTGAAACTTTTAAAATTTATAAAAGTGAAGTCGAAAATCAATTGGAAAGGAACATTAAGGTTGTAAGATGTGATAGGGGAGGGGAGTACTATGGTAGATATACTGAAATTGGTAGAAATCCTGGACCTTTTGCGTTATTTCTGCAAGAACATGGAATTGTAGCCCAATATACCACACCAGGTACTCCGGAGCAAAACGGAGTAGCCGAGAGGAGGAATAGAACTCTCATGGACATGGTAAGGAGCATGATTTGTAGAACTAATCTGCCAAGTTGTTTGTGGGGAGAAGCAGTGAAAACTGCAAATTATATATTAAATAGGGTACCTTCTAAATCTGTGGAAGGGACACCTTTCGAACTATGGACAGGCAGAAAACCGAGTTTAAACCACTTGCATGTATGGGGCTGTAGAGCAGAGGCAAAGATATATAATCCAGGTTACAAGAAACTTGATTCAAAGACTGTCAGTTGTCATTTTATTGGATATGCTGAAAGGTCGAAGGGTTTTAGATTTTATTGCCCTAACCAAAATACAAGAATTGTCGAAACTGGAAAAGCAGTTTTCATGGAGTCTGATGCAAGCGTCGATTCTGGGACAAGGGTTGAAGGGTTTGTATTTGAAGAAGAAATAAACAATCAAGAAGCAGCAGTTGAAGACGTTGATCGTAACACAGCGATTATGGCACCAATAGTTGTAGTAACCGAGATAATGGGAAGCAATGATTCTGATGAACCAAGTCACGAGATAGAGGTTGCACATGACATCGAACTGCACGATAACACTGTTGTACAAGACGTGTTTGAAGAGGTTGTGATAGAAAATCAACAACAACAACACCATGCACATGAAGACAACATCACGGCTGCGGGTGCTGCAAATATAAGAAAGTCATCTAGGGTTAGAAAACCTACAACCCTAAATGATTTCGTATATTTGACACAGGTTGACACTGATCTTTCAGAGTTTAATGATCCGATGAGTTACAAAGAAGCAATTGCAGGACCAGATGCTGATAAATGGATAGAAGCCATGAAGAGTGAACTGAGTTCGATGGCAAACAATCAAGTGTGGGATCTAGTGGAACAGGCAGAAGGATCAAAACCCATAGGATGCAAATGGGTTTTCAAAACAAAAAAGGATTCAAACGGAAACATAGAAAGGCACAAAGCCAGGCTTGTTGCGAAAGGCTTCACGCAAAAGGAGGGTGTGGACTACAAAGAAACATTCAGCCCCGTGTCGACAAAGGATGCGTTTAGGGTTATCATGTCTATGGTGGCTCATTTTGATTTGATTTTACATCAAATGGATGTAAAAACGGCGTTCTTGAATGGGGACCTGGAAGAATGCATTTACATGCGTCAACCAGAAGGTTTCAAGGAGGGAGAAGGAAGAAACCTAGTGTGCAAACTCAACAAATCCATATATGGATTGAAGCAAGCATCACAGCAGTGGTACTTGAAATTTCATAGAATTGTGAAAGAACATGGCTTCACCGAGAATCCTTCAGACAATTGCATTTATCTGAAGTTCAGTGGGAGCAACTTTATCATCCTAGTTCTCTATGTGGATGATATATTACTTGCCACGAATTCTCACAGTTTGTTGGATGATACAAAAACTTTTTTGCAGAAGCATTTTGAAATGAAAGACATGGGAGAAGCGACATATGTTTTGGGCATTGAGATCAAAAGGGATAGAAGGAGAGGTTTGCTAGGCTTGTCACAGAAAGCATACATAGAGAAAATGTTAAGAAGGTTTAATATGTCTTCGTGTGGAACTACTGAGATGCCTATATCGAAGGGTGATAAATTAAGTAAGCAGCAGTGTCCACAAACAGACTTAGAGAGGAAGGCTATGGACGACAAACCATACGCCTCCCTGGTGGGAAGTTTAATGTATGCACAGGTGTGCACAAGGCCTGACTTGGCTTTCACCATTTCCGTGCTTGGGAGGTTTCAATCCAATGCAGGTGAAGCTCACTGGAATGCTGCCAAAAGAGTTTTTGAGATACCTTCAGAGAACCAAGGACCATATGTTGGTGTATAAAAGAACCGAGAGTTTGGTTTTGGAAGGGTATAGTGATTCTGATTTTGCCGGTTGTCCAGATGATATGAAGTCAACTACAGGTTATGTTTTTTCTTAATGGCATGTGGTGCGGTATCTTGGAAGTCTGTCAAACAAGGAACTGTGGCAGCGTCAACAATGGTTGCAGAGTATTTATCAGTCTGTGAAACAGTGAATCAAGCTGTTTGGTTTAAGAATTTCATAGTTGGGCTTCAAGTAGTGGACTCTATATCGAGACCTATACAGATTTTCTGTGATAATAATGCAGCCATATTCTTTACTAAGAATAATAAGAGATCTAATGCAACAAGGAATTTGGATATAAAATATCTCATTGCTCGAGAGAAGGTGATGGCCGGTTTAGTTAAGGTTGATTATTTGGAGACTGGATCCATGATCGCTGATCCGTTAAATAAAGCAGTTCCCACCATCGTTTTCAAGAAGCATGTCACTAGCATGGGAGTCTTGGCTGGTTTTGATGCAGCGAATTAGTGGGAGCTATGCAACAGGTTTCAACTTTTATGCTAGTTTTCATTCAATAGCAATTTATGTTATGGAGGATAAGTTTGAGTATTAACAATGAAGTTTTCTTAGCTAATAAAGAATAAAGCTGAAAGGTTGTTCAAGTTTCCTTAAAGGGTTCAGTTTTTAGCTATGATAATGCATGAATATTTTGCATGCTGTTTATGATTTTTATTCATTATACAGTGTCGGACAACCTGAGGGCTTTATATAGAAGCACATGGATCGTTTTTCGATTCTGAAAGGGACCAAATGTTAGACATAATTAATACATGTTCGGTTGTGTCTTGCATGCTATATATCTTGTTGGAATCTTATGTGTTGATAAGCTTTACTTTAAGTAATTATGGGGACGGTACTCTTCAGTGTAATGAGTGTGTGCCCTATAATTCTCATGAATGCTTAACAATGACGAAGACTGTAAAACTAAGAAGTGTCGAAAGTTAATCTCATGGCCAATTCAGATCCTTCCCAACTCCAGTATGATTATACAACTTTACAAAGTATTTGCTCTAGTGGGAGAATGTAAGTTCTATTTGAGAGCAAACACTTTGTGATTTGTACAAAGTCTTTTGGGACGATAAGGAGATTAACTTTATCACATGTGGCAGACTTATAATGAGTTGTATTACTTAGGTATACAAGTCAGAAACATTCTTAGATAAACTAGAACTCTTCTAGCTGATTTATGCACAAGTAATCTACGGTGATAAAGTTCATCTTTGATAGGGTTTACTTAATGGGAGGACTCCTAATCAAAGACCATCACCTATAGTATATAACTGAGGTCCCTGTGCTCTCACAAAATACCTGCAAGTATACAGAAATCCTCAAGCCCCATTGAGTGAGCCTTGCTTCCGGACAGTGCAGAGACACAGAAGAGCCTCAGTTCTTTACCCTATTTCTGAGACGATGTCTTCCTCAGGTTAGTGGTTAAATTGGTATATGAGTCAGTCGTTATATATGTATATAACTTAAAAGAATTAACTTACATACCATATATTATATAAGAGCAAAGCCACGTCGACTAGTTATTGGCATGTCTGCAGTCGGACTGCTGCAGACGGGGCTCGCTATTGTAGTTGTTGTTGGCCACTTGTCCATAATCGCATGTGTGTTACACTCTCCTGACACAAAGCCTTGCCCACAAGCACAAGACCGAGCTTCAGATGCTCGGGTATTTGGACTTGCTTGGCACACTACTTGCCCTTGCATTTTTGGAGGGCAAATTTTGAGCCCTTACTCTTGTCTTGCACCAACTGAAGCTGCTCTAATGAATTCATATTTGTATACACCTTTATAAATTACCTCTTATATATATATATGCGCAAGTCCCACATACATCAATGGTTCATTTCTACAAAGAGAAATGGTCAACAAAGTGCGTGGTCATTAAACAGAATAAATGGTATTATTTAGTGTCCAAAAATAAAATTAGCATTATTGATTGGTGATAGATGAATGAGACCTCAATGGAGCATTCGAACAAATAGGGGAAAACCCACAATCCATATTTTATAGGGAATATAAGGCCCAAGAGACCAGTTAGACCTACGTTTCACAACCCATATTTTGTGTCATCCGTGAACCAACGGAATTGGCAACTCTTGTGGTCCTTGGTTGAGCAACGTTTGTTTGAATAAATTAAGGAACCTTGGTTGAGCAACATTGGTTTGAATAAATTAAGGAATTGAAACACAAATAGCATAGGTGGGTTATTTTTGACTGTTGATGTACCAAGACACCAACGGTTATGTTTAACCCACATGCATAGCTGCAGATTATAATATTTAACTGCATATAAAAATCTTGAATTACTCCGCCTTCAACATTCATGCTCGCTCAATGACCCCTCAATTAAACACATAATTAAACATGCAACGTCTAACTCGAGCCACTGCCATGCAAACATAGATGATTAAACGGAGGAGAGCAATCGAATCATTCATGTGCAATATACTATTTCACTGTATCAATACAAATATCAAACACTACAGATCTCCCCCACGGGAACAACTAGTTGCGAGGTCTTCCGTGTGATGTCTATGCAACAAACAACTCAAGCCGTAGAGGAAATTGTGTGGATGGTATGGAAATCGAAAAATAAATAAACGATAACTTATTTACACACATGAATGGATGAACTAACAAACAACTTCCACAATCTCTGAACAATATCAACACACAGCGCACAATATAAACACCGGCATACTTTCGATCATCCACCGGGCAGGGCCAAATGGACAACAGCAGCCTATACAATCTGCCAAACTTTTTTCAGACAACACTGCATCAAGAAAAATTAAAAAAATAAAAACTCCCAATATATAATTCGTCTTGCTTGCTTCACAAGGTTCATTTACATGTAGCCAGTAATTATTAACTCGTTAAAATGTTTAGGAACATATTAATAAATCCAGTATGGTTGAATAATTAGAACTAATTACTCTTTCTTTTTGTCTCCGTCGGATTTTTCCTTCTCCATGCGTTCGAACAAGGTTCCGTCGTAAACAGCTCTAACGGTATCTTTGTGCAGCAAACCATTCTTGTCCTTGCAGAGAACGTATAAGATCTTCCATTCTGTATAGGCAGCAACCCTGCATTTTATATTCCATCGTTAATTTAGTTATGTTCTCTCTTTTATATTTCAGCAGGACATGAAATATATATGAGAAACTTACCATCCTGCATAATCCTTGGGAACCCTATTAGTCTTTAGCATGCCCATCAGTTCATCTGATGTCAACGAATTTGGATGCGTATGGGCATGCTTTGCAAAGATTTCTTCAAATTTCAACGGAACAAACCTGAAAAATTGTAATTGGAGAAAAATAATTAAATACAAAAAAGCTGAAAACATAATCCAAATTCCAAAAGGAAGGGGATTGGAGAGAGGTAAAAAAAAAGTAAGAACAAGAGTAGTTAAAAAAGGGTAATGCTTGTGTCTCCTAGAGGACTTGTCTTCCCACTTACGATTAACGAACTTTTATCATCCGAACATTATAATCGAAACCGTTTATTTTTTTTATCATTATCTTGATCATATGTGCAAAAAAATTATTCAATTTGAAGATCTTTTAGCCATTCATATACATAAAACATATGAACATTTAATCATAAGATTGCTCATTGTAACCAAAATTATTGGTTGGTATAACACGTAAGAATAATTTAGTTGTTCATGTTCTTGTGCAAGCAATAACAATTAAAGCTATTTAATACAGCATCCATCAGACTATATATAATAAGAAGATTATATTATACAGAAAATTGATATCAATTAATTAATTAATAATTATACGGTTATACCTTCCTTCAGTATCATAGACACCAGAGTCACTGCCATGTTTTGCTTTATGGATATTTTTAACTTCAATTGGGAAAAGTAGAGAAGGAAACTTTCCCTGCACCAAACACAGAAGCAAAAGCCACGTCACTTCTACTCAACGTAATAGCAGCAAACGCGTCGAAATAGACAGAATTTATTCCCCCCTATAACACATGTTCTTTCTTCTTTGTTTGGTTAATGCGTCACAATATTCTTACAACAGCGCACATTCAACCAAATATTCAATAATATTGTAAAACAATTTTTTTTTTAAGTTGCAACGTACAATAATTTTACAATTTTGTAAACAAACGAGAATTTTTTCTAATATGAACTATTTTAATCTATAAGAAAAAGAATAGAATTCTTTTGAAAGTACTTTTAACATATTTTTTAGTTTTAAAAGCGTTTGAAGTGTTTTTTTCAAGATTCATTTGCATTTTTACCAAATATTAATTTCAAAACATTTTTATCAAAAATAGTTTCAATCATTTTAAAAATACTTCCAAACGATCATTTAAAATAATAATATATTGTTCTAACCAACTTGTCTAGAATCAATAAGATAACAACAATTTAGTCCGGATTTTCTGGTAAAGGTCAAGCTAAGTTGCTTTAGTGCTACTTATCAAATCAACATTTGTCACGAACACTATACAACCCTACTGGATATTTTCCTCCATCTATAAACATGTGGACGTGAGTTTTTGACACATGTCCTAAATATAATATTTCACAAAGAAAAAGTTGGTAACTCAGAAAACAAATATTCTAATCTGGGAATGAAATTTTACTCTTTGCCGTCGCAACATAGTCTAAAGCTTTGTACTTGTAAAATTTTCCTTATAAAAAGTTTTGTTACGAAGTGAGTCAATCTCGGGACTTCCGATGCTTGAGAGTTTGTTTGTTTTTTATTTTTTATTTATTTTATATTTTTTTAAAATACAAGAGGAGCGAATCGAACTCATAATTTCCGATGCATACGCGAATGATAACCCTAGTGAGCGGAGTATGAGAGTGAGAGAGATACCTGGCGAGTCTTTTGACTGAGGGCAGCGTTGATGAGAAAGGCACTGGTTGTGGACAACAAAATGCCACACCCGATCGCACGAAAACCTGTTAATCACAGAGATTATCACTTTTAATTAAATTCTACAAATTATGATAGACCGGTTTTAAAGAAGGAGAAAGGCAACAAATAATTGACAAAAACCTTGAAAAGTTTCCCAAGGATAAACAATGCCATCGCGGTTCCTGTCAAAGAAGGCTACATGTCTCTGCAGAACGTCCTGTTCGTTGGGTACAAATTTCCCACCATTATTCCCTGCATGCATCACAATTTATGCCGATATTAATTAGCATATAATTCACTTCAATACATATATAAACCCTTTATTTAACTCTAAGCAAAACGACCGGAAAGTTCATGAAAACCTAGAGAGAAAGAGAGAGAGAGAGGAACTGCATACCTTGCTGCTTATTGTTTTCTGACAGAGAAGAGGAACCCATATTTTTCAGAAGGATTGAAAGCTTGAGAGGGGAGAAGAAGGTAAATCTGATAAAGTGGAATGGCAGTGAAGGAGAGTTATGAAAAGAACCGATCGACAAATCCAACCTAATAACGAGCGGAGCAACTTTAGAGGGTTGTGTGGGTTTTCTTTCCTGAAATGTCTGGTTTTCAAACACACAAACTAATTTATTTATAAAGGGCCAAAAGGAAGTACAAAATTTAATTTAAATATCTGGAAAGGCATGGTGATAGATATTCTACAATTATTGGAAATTATTGTGTTGTGGAAGCTTAGCGGTGCAATAACGTCCTAAATGGCAAGTCCCCACGCTGGCCCTACACGTTGACGATCAATTAGCCTATTGCCACCCGTTAATGCGCGTGACACCTCGTTCTTCTGTATTTTATTTATTTATTTTTAGAATTTTAATTCTTAAAAATAAATTCTAAAAAATACTCTACGTGAACGAGGTTGTTTCTTTTGAATTTTTATTTATTTTTTACTATTTTACACTTATTTAATTAAATTTCTCTTTAAGGGGAATTTTGGGCATTTATCAATATATCTCTTGTATGTATAAAGGAGTACCTCAAAATATGAACCTTCGGCCATAAATTGCTCCTCAAAATGTCCAAAAATACAATTTAATTGACCATATTTTAACTTTTTAATGAATTTGAAATTTAAAACTTTAGGAAAAAATAATAATAAAAACAAACCCCATACGTTAGCAAGTGACATTTTACCACAGTGGTGTAAAAGTGTTGAGCCCTTGCATGACGGTGTAGGCTCTACTCTGACTGTGGCTAATCTAACAAAATATATAAATAAAAAACTTGATTTCTAAAGCGTAAAGTTAAAGAGACTAAAGTTATAGACAAAATTTATAAACTAAATGACTTGTCACCAATATGAATAAACATGTTTACTAACGCTTAAGTGATAACTCAATAATCAACTTTCATATTCTTTAGTTTACAAAATTTTATCTACAATATTACTCTTTTCTAAATCTTCTTTTTTTGTAAAATTCCATAAAAAATTAATTTTACATAAAAAAGTCAATTGCCACACCGTCTCACTAAATTTGGTTTCTTCCTTTATTTAATGTCTTTTTTTATTATTAATTAGGAATATTTATTTACTATTCTTTTGATAGCAGAGTCATAGACATAGGGAAGCGATCTCTCTCTTCTCTTAGACTCTCGCCTTCTTCAGAGCGAGGAGGGCATCTTCCCAACGGCACTTCAACAATTTTTCAAAATTTTCTTTTCTTTATCTCTTTTTTATTTCATTTTGTTCAGCCATCAAGCTATCTACTTCGGAGAATCCTGAAAGTTTTTGCTATGATATCTTAATTATTGTTCTTATAGGATAGCATGCCTTTTTGAAACCCTTCATGTTATTTTCATTTTTCTTTTATTGACACCGCATTGAACACACATCCAATTGTGTATACTCAACATACATTATTATCTTATAATTATATGTTAGAGTGCGTTGTTTAATTACGAAAAGCAATGTATAATAATTATTAGCTGCATATTTAACGTACGTACGCAACCCTACCTCAAAACGATGCTGCGGAAACCAAAGACATTAAACTAACACACGAATAATATACTTTGATCTTAAGAATTAAACAAATAATTAAACAAAAAGGAAAACAGCAAACAAGGAAAGGCAAAGAGGCGTGATTGGTTAAGTGTGGGGGCAGATTGTCTGCCCTCCTAGTTGTGATGCTATTCTATGCCTTTTTATTTATACGGTCAAGGTTAAGTTACGTTAATATTTTATATTAATTTTTTAATAATATAAAATATTAACGTGACTTAACCGTAATCGCATAAAATATGAAGACAAAAAATAGCACAACAACTAGGAGAGCAGGCAATCTGCCTCCTTTTGCTTTTGCTTTACAGAAACAGATAACAGATAAATGATGCTGCTGTTAGCTTTTACGTCACTTCCGAATAGTCTCAACTCGTACGTATCAGCTCTGAGCTCACCAGGTGTGAATGCTCCCTCTTCAATGTTGGTCACACGCACATAACACGCAGTCAGTCATGCGAAAAAGATGGCCATCGATTCGAGCCCACCACCTGCAGAAGCTTCCCTTCCCTCCCAACAAGTTCAAAACAAATGTCCAATCCAAATGACTGAAGCTGCGCCATTCGCATCTTTCATTGTGTTTTTTTTTTGTTTCTTCACTTTCCTCTTTCAGAAATCTGAAGCTTCCCTCCCAACAAGTTCAAAACCACAAATGTCCAAATGACTGAAGCTTCTCCATTTGCATCAAAATTACCTACCTACTGTTTTTTACTCTTCTTGTCCTTTGCAATAGGATATCTTACACTAAATTTATTTAAACTACAGTCGAACCTTTCCGTAAAAAAAACCATAGCCAAACTTTTTTTTTTTTGAACAAATAATATTATTTATACCAAGGTGATGAGGGAGTGAGCTAGGCTTTACAATTGATTAGTAATGATATGGTTCAAATTCGTCTTAGACGAAAATCGAACTTAAAATCTCTCATTTTTAAGTAAAAAGAAATATTATTAGACCGCAGTACCGTGCTCAAACTAGTTCAACTAAATCCATGTTCGTCTTTATTTCTATTTTATTCAATTTGCTAATGATATATTATTACCGGGTGCAACTTTTTACCCTCTTTTTAAGTCTTTTCCATCCACAATGTCTCCATAAATGGAGGAGTTGGTGATTCTCCTTTTTGGCTGCTTCCTGCTTAACAGCTAAGATAAAGTAATATATTGTTGGAAAGTCTTATTTACACACTTAATTTTATTTCGCAATGAAAAAAAAAAATTTACCTCTCAAGCATTTTTGTTAATTTTTTTATTATTGATCTTTAATTATTTATTCGATTCGACAATCGAAAATTGAGAGGAGCGTATGAAAAATTAAAATATGTGTGTGAATAACACTTCCCTATACTATTTTGGGCCATGAAACTTTACTTTAATATGTTTTCATGGTAAAGTAGACGTAAAAACTGACTTAGTAAGTAAACACTACTAAAAGAATCCAGGAATATCGTGCGTGTAGAGATAGATACTTGTTCTAGAAGGCCATAGATAATGACATAGATGACCAAAACAACCAATTAGTCGACATGGATCATGACTTTTAGTTGACAGCCGATTTTATGGAGAATCACATTCTCAATAATGCACGTGAAATTGGAGGTGTTCTTCCATATTTTCAAACGACTTTATAGAAAAGCACATTCTCGTGAGTGTAGAAGTGATTATGGCCTTATCAGAATCATGAGTGATTGTGGCCCTCTCAGTTTCTCAGTTTCATTCTCGAACAAGCAGCGATAAGCTGAAATAGATACGTACCACAGATCTCTTAAACGAGTTCACACACACACAACACCAATTAATTAAGAAATGACGGTGTCACAAATTTAACTTACATCACAACACGTAATTGAGTACGACGTCGGCTGCTTCCATAACGAGTCTCCAGTTAAACAAATTTGATCACTGTTTCTCTTTATTTTTTATTTCAAGATTTCCCTTAACTTATACGGTTAAGCAAAATAGAAACATATTTTTTAGGATATTTAAAGGAAGAGGGAACAAATGTTGGTCTACCAAGCAGTTCTTTAAACCTCAAAAGAAATATTTTGAAACCGTCTTTTTCCAGTACGTGATGCGTAGAACACAAGAAAACGTTTGCTTTGCTGGAATTCTGAGCACACCTATACAATCTATATATATCCTTCAAAATTATACGTAACATAACATATACTAATATAATAGGGCAGCATTCGAAACGTTCAGGCGAACAAAGATTCTGTTTAATTGTAAGTTAATCGTTTTTCGACCTTTAAATCCTCCCGGGATTTGCGGGTTCTAGGCACCTACCCTTCGCTGCGATGACGACTTCTGTAAATATGCTGTACCAAATATTGATCTTCATCCATAACAAACATCAGTCTTGATTAGAATTCGAATTCAAACTACAGGGCTTCAGACATGAGATGGAAAACAAAAGGTATTGAAGAATCGGTACTTCGTAATCCATCGATTCATATAATTACATATCATTTACGCGCTTAACAAACTCGGTATTTGGAGTGGTTTCAAGTGTTTTCGCGACAGAAAATCTACGGAACAGCCAGCCAAATATATCATCCTCGTAAAGCTAAAGAGCCGTCCGCCCAATTCTGCAAATAGCACAATGCTGTCACGTTCTAAAACCACAAGGTAAATATTCAGTATGCAATGGACTTATGTACAAGTCCTCGGAACACAACACGTTGAAGCTACTATAAAATAAGGTGGTTCGTGCGCAAAGTACAAACAACGTGTGTGTAATGTCCCCTATTATGTCTGTAGGAAAACATCACATATATGTCTTTCCACCAAAGGCATATGTGATGGCAGAACAGAGATTACAGCGCATCGCTACAGATGGAGCGATCCTTAATTACATTAGACATGACTAGCACATTGACGCTCCTTAACAAGTATCATTCAACGTATATAATATATAAAGTATCGTATATTTATTCAAGTCTGACCTTAGATAATGCAACATTTCACCACAAGCCCTTTTTGATCGACCCTTCCCTCTTCATTCCCTGAAAATACATATTCATATATTAACTCTCCATTTCTCTAGATGATATGAACAGAAGGAAAACAGAAGCAATGCAGTCCTGTTAATAAAACTTAAATACATAAAAAGGTAAAGCATGTTCAGCAAGAAACAGCTGAAACTAACAGACCTTCGGGTGGCTGAGCTAGCCTTCGGTTCTGTGGCGACATCATCTCTTTCTTCAATTGTGTCAATACGTCCTCCATCGTATATTCCCTTTGCCAATTGGCAAGCATGGGGAAAAGACTGGGTTCAACCTGGTAATTTGGCCACCCATCAGCTTGTTTCAACAATAACAAAGGAACATACTTGAGGGTAAGAATCACCTACCACTCCAGAATCATGATTGACACAGGTCATGTTTATCCGTGTTTGGAACCTAACAGTTGGCGGATTATCTGGATAATCCTTCCCACAGAACAGTTTCAATTGGTAAATGCGCCCTTCATGCACAGTCTAGCAAGAAGCAAGATCAGCAAGACATTAAGTTTCTTTATTCAAAGAATGACGTCGTTTCAATGCAGCTTGCCATGATTTTATTTTTTCTATTTTAGAAGCGCATGTATGAGCAGCAATTTACCCAAAAAAGGAAACTAATGAGAATAAGGAACCTACATTTGGGGGCCCGATAATTGTCCCTGTCCATGACTGCATATAAACATCATCAGCATCATCCATTCCATAGCTAACAGTGCCATCCCCAATTCCCTTTTCACCCCTCTCAAGCTCTTCCAGTAATCTGAAATTCCTGGGAACTACACACAAAAAAAAAAAAGAAAAACAAGACACATAATTACAACTCTTGCATCATGTGATCATAACAATTGTCCTACTGTAACAAATAATCACAAAAGAACTGGAAAAAGACAAGTGTTTAACAAAAAGGATTAACATATCTACTCGATGTAACAAAGAAAACCAAAGGCAGCTTCAGTCACAAATCTCATCAAATTCATGACAAAATTAGAAGCTAGTTCAACAAATACCAATTCATACAAGAGCATAGGCTATCTAATACAAAAAGGGGAATACTCCAGTTACTCTCCGTTATTTTAGTCCCTTATATTTTTCCAATGAAACTCCTCACAGAAATACTTTCATCGGCTTCTTAATAATAGCAGAGGTTCTATAAATTCTTTTCAGGAAAGAAATAGAACATTAGCTAAAGATAGTAGCTATAATTTCCAAGCTAAGGAGAGATGAGAAGTGTTTACAATAGTACGATAAAACACTACAATTTCAGTTCTAATTCTCACTTGCACTCTCTATGGAGAACCCATCTGAGAATTGGTTATAGAAAAGCGGAACCACCCTTGTGTTAGGAAAAACATGGCCACTGTCTCCTGACCAAAAGTAATGGTATTTCAAAATGATCTTGGTTCCCAGAGTGCTCCTATCCAGAAGAGATGTAAAAACTCATGCTAGCTTGAAAAGTTTGAGAAGTAAATTGTAATATCTGGATACCCAATCAGATACCCTTTTTAGAATGCCTTACTTAATGTAACGATAAAGATGAATAATCCTATCTCTCGTATTAGAAATTACATTGCATCCCCTGTAAGAGAAGGATGCTAAAAATTTATGAGGCATTTATTTTGGCACTGGTGAATCTGACCTGAGGTAAGATTCAACTATGAGTATATGTTCAGCTGGAGGGTTGTGGAGGAACTGACATACTGGGTTCTTCTAAAGACGGCAGAATAATGGGCAGCCCTGTTTATAGGAGAGAATGCAGGTTCTTGCATTTTCATTGCAAGGAAGTACATTATTCAGGCAAACCATTTACGGAAGACAACACTTTAGAACAAAACAGAAATAAGGGAGAAAAAAGAAACGGGTGACCAAGGCACAACATGACTTCTGAATCTATATCTAGTCACGCTACTAATTGTCTCAAGAATATCTGGTTCTGTTAATCTATATCTTATTTATCATAACAATGAATTCAGAAACAAATTAAGAACTCTTTTGACATCAAAAGTGAAAATTTCCAAATCACAATTTTCGGCCATGAGGACAGATCATCCAAAATCATTGGCATTCACATAACGTAGCTTCGGTACTCTAGTGATTTGTGAGGGGTTAAAGATGAACCTCAAAGGCTCAACCGTATACATTATCGTTACATTTCCACTACCGATACAAACTTCATCATTCCTTGTCAAATTAGATTCGAATGATTCGATCCTTGGAGGACACTTTAGGCTAACAAATCTAACATTGATTTCATACCAACAACGATTCGCACGTGGTTCATAACCCAAAAAAACCAATCAAGCTTACAACTTACCCTATAATTCAGGACAAAGCAACCAAATTTATAACAAATTAAATTCAAATTAATCCACTTTACCAGGTTAACAAACAAAAATGCAATTAAGCTCAAACAAAAACAAAACTTTGATTCAGGAACAAAATCAACATACAACAATTAATCTGGATAAGCTTGGACGAATGTAAAATGAGCTAGAACACTGAAAAATCTAGGGTTTTTTTGAAAGCTCACCGACAACGCTTGATCCTTCGGTTCCCATTTTTATGGGGGTTGAATTTTGCAGAGTCCGGATTCAGGTGAGTTGGAGAGAGAGAGAGAGAGAGTAGCAGAGAGGTTTTGATGGTGGATCCAAGACTGCAGGAAGTCCAACTACGGTTCGCCGAGGGCAAAGTCGCGCATGGAGGAGGAAAAAAGGATAAAAAGCAGGAAGAAGAATAGAGGAGGAGGAGGGTCCGAGTCGAGTATTCCTTGAACTGAGGGTGTATTGTTATTCTTCTGCACCTGCGCATCTCACACGTTCATCAATCACTACAGTAGGATTTCCATTATTCCGTACATACCGGGAGAGTAAGTAGAAATCAGATCGTAGATCTGGCGGTGGGGAATAGGGATCATTGGCGGACAATGCATGCATATCGTAGCCTGCACTTTCTCTTTTTTTTTTTGTTGGATATTTTTAGTAAACGGCAAGGGACAACAAAACCAAGCCCAATGGACCAAGGACAGCAAGGCAACATGTAACGAAGCAGCGAACAAAGTAAGAGGTCCAGAGTCTTGCAAAATGTAGGCGACCAACACAGGAAAAGGATTGCGAAAGCGATTTTCACACTCTCATTTTGCATAATAAAATATTTTTTTTGGAATTTATAATCTGCAGTTAATTTATCTCTGAATTCTTATTTTATAATCTGAGGTAGGTCTCGGGACTTGGGAGTAGCCTCTCCATAAATAGGGATAAAGTTAGCCGACATTCACCTCTCCCAGACCCTGCGTAAAGCGAGAGCCTTATGCACTGGGTACGATCTTTGAACTTTTATTAACAGTTCAATTTTGAGATTATGTTCAATTTTTGCAGTGTTTTTCAGTCCAAGCAATAGAGAGGACATATATGGCCCATTGCCGGAGAAGCCGGCGTTTACCCGTCAGTTTACTCTTGGAGAGGTCATGCAAAGGTTCTTCAAACTCAATGTCATCACTAAGGTTTTTTTTTTTTTGGTTAAAGTGAGATCCAAAATGATCGCCAACAAAGAACTTTTATTAAAACAAACACACATTTACAAAACAAACAAAGACTCACTTTATTCCTATAGACAAATAAAGAACGGGCCTAAAAACAAAGAAAACATAGAAAATGAGCCCAACAACAGTGAAGTCCAAACACTAGGGGTGAGCACTTAGAACCCAAAACCAAAACCGAAGCACGAACCAAATCAAACTGCACCGAATGGTTTGGTTTTGTGGTTTTGAAATGGTTTCTGTTTTGAAACTGAACCGCAACATAGAAAGCAGTTTGATTCTAGTTTTGACTTTTGAAAACCGCATCGAAACTGAACCGCACAGTAAATATTAATAAACATTTAATTAAATGTCCATATTAGACTTCATGTTTTAATTGGTTGCTTGTTAGAATCTATACACTTAGTATGGACTCAACCACACTAGAATATCATTATTCTTCATCACATTTTTTCGTTCATTAACTTGAAGGACCTTTGTTATTTTATATCATCATACACACACACACACATATGTACAAAGGTGGACTAATCATGTTATCAAGAGTCGAACAATGATCTAATGAAGTCCACTCATTTGAAGCATGATATCACATATTCTAGTATGATAGTTTTGCTTACGTTTAATGAATTCAAAGTTATTCAACTTCTTTTATGTTATACCTTGTATGGGACAACCTTTTATTGCACAAACCATATTTTAACATCACAACTACATGCAACATGCTAATTGTTTACATAACAAATGTCTTTTTCCTATTGCTCCTGGGAAATGCTTATTAATATGTTAAATTGCAAATTGTACATTTTTTCTTAAAAACCAAACCGAAACCGTTTGAAACCGCACCGAACCGAACCAAACGGTTTGGTTTCATTTTGATTTTGGCTTCAAAACCGCACCGAATTGAACCACAAAAAATTTCGATTTCACTCAAACCGTACCCACCCCTACCAAACACAATAGAACGTCTGAGAACCATCCACTATGCTCTCCACCGCCGATCCAAGAATCGACCAGCCATCCGATTCTGTCCACCGCCGATCATCACCTCTACAGACGCCACTTGCGCACAACTATCAACAAGAGATGGTCGACGAGAGAGAAGCCAACCATCAGAAAGAAGTGGGAAATTCCCAAGCATCACCGTCTGAAACAGCAGACAAAAAGAAGAACGTGGTGGTCTAGGAAACACCCAAGCCGAATAAAACACTGGAACTCTACACACGAACTCAACAAAAAACATGGTTGAAAAGCGAAGCAAGGAAGCCGTGAAAAGGGATACCCACGGGGGTTGAGGAATTGGAAAGGCTAGAGAGGAAAATTGGAAGAACCATCAGCAGATGGAAGAGGAGAAGAAAGAAAAGACAAAAACAAAAGACCACCCACCGATCCCAGCCACAGCTAGGATCGGCGGCACCAAATGAAAGCACGATCGGGAAATCACCCACAAAATGGTGAGAAGCACCCACCCTCAAGCAGAGGGAAGGACTGTAGCCGCCTACCGACACCCTGATTTATTTATTATTGTTCATCACTAAGCTTTTTAGAACATGCGTCAATGACTAAAGCTTACAAATCGAAATGATGTGCGTTCTAATCTAACCCAAACGATTTCTGACCTACTGATGGGAGCCTTGGTGTTTCCAGTTTCCCATCCCCAAACCACTCTGACATTTCTTCATCGTCGGTGGAATCAGAAAGCTCCAATCGTTTTGGAATATTGACACTGGATTCGTTAATGTTTGCCTTATTCGTCAAGGCGCTTTTGCTCCTCTCTAACATCTTCAACTTCCACAAGTCCCTTTTTTTCGGATTCTGAGACAATTCGGTCTTACCTCCTGCGATGGGAAAATCTACCAACCCGGAAGCCTCATTCCATGCGTTCGAGCGATTGCAGTCGTCTTCTTCTTCGTTTACAAATCTCCACTTGTCTGCACCTCTAGTTCGACTTCGTCCATATTGACTCGTCTCAGTAGTGTGAGGAGAACTCAAACTCTTAGTCCTAGGGTAGCTTCCGTCGTCGTGTACGGGTTCAGCAGAAGCCTCTGAAGAATGTGCTGCCTTAGGCCTTTTATGATCGCATTTTAAGCACACCATGTTTCTCTTAAAGTTGATATAATTGCACCTGCACAAAAACAGATCTCTAATCATATACAGGTCAATTAGAATTTAGATATATGGAACCACTTCAAAGGGAAGCATTGATTTCCAAAACAAAAACAAATGAATGCCAATTGCATTCGGTAGAGAAACTCACGAGTCGCACTCCCACTCCCCGGGATTTATCTGCCGCTTTGGAGGCTTCTCTTTGCATTGTAAGCATCTACCGTTCTTCGCAAAATTTAAGAAACTGCATCTGTAAAGGAAACTAAATGTCTTAATCTCAACAAGAAATGGAATTACAGAAGAAAGTTAAGATCTTAGCAGCCATTACTTGTCACATATCCAGTCCCCCTTCTTCAACGGAAGATGATCTTGTTCCTCTCTTAGACGTGTCAGTCTTTCTTGGGAAAAATCATCGCAACGAAGGCACTTGAGATTTCTAGCAAAGTTTAGGAAGTTGCATCTGCCAAAAGAAATATTAATAAGGATTAAACAACCAATCAAGATTCAATAATCGTAAACAACTACGTGATCAAGCTGCCAAATTACTTGGGGCAAAGCCAGTCGCCTGGCTTCATTGGAACATTTATTTGGCCCTTTTCTTGTGGAATTGAATGGTCCGACACCGAAGCAACCCTCTTTATGGTTGTACTTGTACTCTTTGGGGGATTGGAGTCGATGTTCTGAGTGCTCTCCCCTACCATCTGTTTCAGTAGCCGTCTCACTGAGTCTTTGACCATTTTGTTTAGACATGGCTTGTTCTCCACTGTACCAGTAGTGGGATCAAGCCCATACGTTAACAAGAAACGCATGACATCCACTGTGCGCCCACCTTCATCTTCCCGTGCCTTCACGTACGCTCTCTCACAGTCTCCTCTCAAATTGCAGGAGCTGCAAACCTACTAAAATGCCTGTTCTTATTAGATATGACAATTCCTAGTTATATCTCAAGCTTTCTTTCTATTAAATCAAAAGAAGACTGAAAATATAGGCTCATTCAAATAAGAGGAAAATACTCAGAAACTAGGGACATACATCTCCTTCATCAACACCCACATACGCCCTTAGACGCTTTCCTGAGTTGATGACTTTCCTATCGAGGCTCGGGCATCCACATCGGGCAATGATCTGGATATCTTTCCTTGACAACATCCTGGCAACAAAGGGATTTAATGAACAAAGGTCTAGAATACAACAACAACAACAACAACAACAACAACAAAGCCTTTTCCCACTAAGTGGGGTTGGCTATAACAAAGGTCTAGAATACAAATATCATATTTCAAATCCAAGTCAGTAAACAACATCTCGCCTTCAAAAACAAGATAATCATCCATTCATCCTTATCATGCACACACTTGAAATGAAAACTGCAAGCTTAAAAGTTAATAGTAATGGCGAACCAAAACGATCTGAGTCATTTCGAACTCCACATACAAATTCCGCTGCCAAATCTAAACATGCCGTGCCTCGCATCCCACAAAGTTCCAATATCAAACAGGTTGCATCACAAAAACTCATAAAACGTTTCTGGGTCGTAAAAGCACTTTCTGGATAAGCACTAGGCACCTTTTCCAGGAAGCACTTGGGTGCTTATGAGCATAAGTGCTTTCTGCACGAACAGTCCCAACCAGCCACAAAATACGCAGACGGGAAAACATTTCATCACAAGCTTTGTACTCAATGTAAATCGTTTTTCAATCCAAAATAATCAAATTCACAACCTCAAACTTGAAAAGAATAACACTTTCAAAATTCATCCCTTCATACCAAAACATCACCATTACCTTAAAAGACTAGACCGGTCCCGAGCAAAATTCAGACAAGCGGTTCGAATACGGTTCGATTCCTTCGGACCCACTTCACCGTTCCGAAACGGGTTCTCGTCGCCATCAAAGTATCCTCTTTTCAACAAGCACTCCATCAGGTCCACCCACTCCCGCCACGGATGCGAAATCTGAACCGCACAACATTCCCCACTGGTCGAGCCGCCCTGCTCGGGGGGTTCACCAACGTCCGGCGCCAATTGGGTGATTATGTTTGTGGGTTTTGAGTCCTTCGACGATTGAATCTCTCTAACTTCGTTGACTATGAAGTCGAGCTTCGGATTGGGAGCTAGGGTTTCTCTGAGGCTGTGAAATTGGGAAATGGGGGCTAAAAATTTTGGTGCTTTGAGGTGGGTTCTGAGGAGAGGATAGAGAGAACCATGGCCGGCTATGAGAAGCTTGTTCATTTGACAAATATTTGGTTTAGGGTTTTCTGATTTTGGCCGCAAAGGGACGGGGTGACCGTTATATTTGTTTGAAGTTATGAACCCTGATTCAGGGTTTACATTGCGCAACAGAAAGGCGTATAAAGATGGTGATGAACTGCTTTTGAGAAATTTTGAAAAATAGCCAATTTCAAAGGCACGAATTGAATTTTAGCCTAATCTTCTAACTTCTTATAATTTTAAGTCTTAATTATCCTTAGTAATACTAATCGTCACCGTCTCCTCTTTCCCTCTCATTTTTTTTTCACAAGACGCGCCGGTCCCAGCCTGCAACCGTTTTCTCATCCTTTGGGACCAAGTCCCCCAGCGAACTTGAAAAACATGAGTTTTTGAACCTTAACATTATGTTTGGATGAGAGAAATAAACTTAAAATTTGGATTAAAGATAAAATTTATAAATTGACATGCACCAATTCCCTTGTTTGGATTCATAAATATAGAAATTTAGAATTTCCGCATAGAAAAAAAACTTGGAATTTGGAACCTCTAATTCCCAAGTTTAAATTTCATGTAAATAGATGTCATTTTCCAATTTCTATGATTGAGAGTTTAAAAACAACAAATTCTGTATTCAAATCCATTGTTCTTTTAGGTTGCCCAAACAAGAAAATTCACAAATTTTATATAATAAAATTCCATCATTTTAAAATTCCTTAGTAATCTTAAATTTCTTCATCCAAACTTAGTGTAAGTGTTCAATAGACAAGAACCAAATCTTGAATTTTGTTTATTGTTTCTTCTCTTCTAGTTTTTGTTTGACAAGTTTCACAAACCCAACTACAACAGCAATGATGAAACATTTTTGGCATCAATTTCCTTTGTTTTGGCAAAAATATCAATTCTCAACCCAAAAACAATGGTAAATCATTGATACTTTCCCGAAGAGTTTTATCTGTGGGTGTTTCTTGTACTCTACAAGGCATGTTCTTCCAAACCCACCTTTTCTTTACAAGAATATGTTATTATTTTTTGTTCAGTTTGTTGGTTTTGCACTTATAAGGTGTTTGACTGCTGAGAAAATGGTGGGGAAAAGTCAAGCCATAAGAAGTTCTCTCTTGTTTTCCCTGGTTTTAAAATGTTCTTCTTTTAGGATAAATGAAATTTGAGAAATTTGATTGTAGTGGGATTAAACTGAGCACAAGTATTGAACTTTGCATTCTACATTCAATTTGAATTGAAATTTGCTAGGACCAGCGCTTGCTGGCCGACTATTGCACTAATTGTAGCAGCTCAAGCTTATGCGAAAGGAGAGGAGAGGAGGAGACGGAGAAGATTAGTATTACTATAGGGTAATTAAGACTTTTTACATGAGTTTTTGGTTAGAATTATAATTAGAAAGTTTGGCTACAATTTAATTCGTGCCTATAAAATTGGTTATATTTCAAACTTTCCCATTGCTTTTAGAACAATTTGCAGCAACGTCCTTGTAGTTTATTTAAAATTTCACCATCATCCTTGCGGACTGTTAATTTTCAGTTTTGTCCATGTAGTTTTTTTGTTTTTTGTTTTAATTTTTATGCACATTGATGTTTGAGAAAATTTGGACTAAGCGACATAATATATCAGCTATAATTTGGTATTTATTATGCGAGTCAAATTTAAGATTTGAGTCTTCTCACTGGCTAATTAAAAGTTGAACACTTAATCGATTCAAGTCATTGGATAACAATTGATAAAAATGAAATCAATCTACGAACGACGAAACTGAAAACTCAAATAAACTACCATCCAAAGTATAGTCCAGAAAATTAACATAAGAATATTAAAGCTGTGCGATGTAAAACAATGAAATTTTGTTCATTCTATAAAAGTCTGTTCTTTGTTTAATGGTTTTCTACAATTGGGATTTTCTACGGTCTATTTCAAGTATTTTAACTGTTAGATCTTTGTTTAATGATAAAAAAATCAAGATCTAACAGTTAAAAAGTCTGGAGCACAGAGCACCATAGAAACTTTGTTGCTGCAAATGTTGCAGTTCAAATGGAAAAGTTGTTGCATTGTCCGCGACAGTTTGGATTGATACAAACTGGGTTGTGGATGAAGGGAAAACCACCAGCACTGTCGGATTGGATTGGACTATATTGTCCATGGCTGTTTCTTTGTTCTGGTGCATACGAAAGGTCATAAACTGGTTGTTGAATGAAACCACTACTGGTACTGTTTAGTTGGACTGAACCCGTAGACCATTGAAGGTTTTTGACCTTAACAACATGATCCGTATTCTTAATGATTTCTACGTCGTCGTCACTGTCGTCGGCATGTGTTGTCAAGGGTGAACTTCTAGATTGCCGAGGAAAATCTCGATGACTTTTCACCAAACAAGCCTGCATTCAGAGAAGTTTATCAATCAAAGGAGCAGCCATTTTTTGGATAAGATCGTTTGTTTTTGTTATTAAGGACGAATTATTGTATTAATAAAGTCTTTACATGTCAATAATTCATTATATACTGACATTAGGGTTAATTTAGCGGTGATGGTTGGTGAAAGATGATGAATATGAGTACGCTAGGTCAAAAAATAAATAAATAAAGGAACTGACATGTTATTCATATCAACGATATCAGTGTTCTACACAGATAACTACGTTCTGAGCATTGAAAAATTGATGAAGAAGAATGATGTACAAACCGTTGATAAACGCATTGAGGCATCGGCGCAGGCGAGTTCTAGTTGTTCCCAAAAAACTTTCTCGTCAAAATTAGGGTTTCTACATGAATATGAGTCGTTGGAGCAGCACTCATCTGATTATGTGGTGACAATTCTGCCAACAGATTCTCTGAATCCAGAGTTGATTGACTCTTGGGCAAATTGTTGACCCCTCTTGAGGAGGAGGAGGAGGATGAGATTGACCAAAGAATGGTTCAAGCTGCTCATTCTCGGATATGAGAGAATTTTCGGCATACTGCCACATGATGTTACTATATTGTGATACATAATTATTTTTCTTTTGGCATAATCTTTGAATTGTAAGAAGGAAATTGACGAAAAAAATTGTGCCAAATGTATAGAATTGGTGTAGTTAGGGTTTCCTTAATATAATGTTTTAGGAATTAATTAAGCAGAAAGACATAATCTATTTGGTTTAGGAAACAGTTATATATGTCTGGTACTAATGAAATTCCGACTCCTTGATTGGACACGAATATGAGATATTTGTATGACATACAAAAGCCGGAATTGGATACTCTCCAAGGCAAAGCCCTCGAGATCCTCATGACTCACTAACACGAGCCGTTGAATTTTGATTCAACGACTACAATTATTATAATTAACTTTTAGAGGAGCCCCCTGTTTGTAACTGTTTGATCAAAATACAACGGCCCGTGTTATTGGGTCCAATTCCACCAAAGCCTACCCAAATTTTTACCAAAATTAAGCAATTTCATGGCAACTGGTGTACTAAAGTACCATGTACGTACCTACCGCAGTATGGCCACCTAAAATTTCTTTCACTTGATTTTTTTTAACGGCGGCAATCCTAACGGTCTCTGTAGCAGGTAATATTTCGTCAAACTTTAAATCAGTTGGTAAAATGTCGCAAAATTAATTACATGTTGCAAAACGAACACTACTGAATTGAATGCATTGAATTCATAAAATTATTAATTCACATACATGCATGTACATCATGTACATATATCCTGCAAATTTTTCTTCTCTAGTCCTTATTTTTCAACACATCAACTTGCTCTCTCTCATCGGAAGATGGAGAATAGCAACTTAGAGACGGGCAACAATTAAACACTAAAAATAAATTATGATAAATACAAACTAAAAAACTAATTCCCTTTTTACACTTTTTGGTCTGCTTTGGAAGTTTGCCCTAGACCAGTCCAATTTTCTGGCTGGACGGAAACTTCTTCTAGGCAATTTATATGTACAATGCGAGGGAATCTTGATTTGTTAATTAATTGAAAGAACAAGCCAGTACATTCTCCTCCCCTTGTTTTTGTTCCGAGGTAAGCCGTTCGACCAAAATGTCCAACGCTTCCTTCATCCACCAATGTTGGCATGCCTCTCTCGCTTTCGCTGCAGTCATCTGTATAAAATATTTGGATCACATAAGATTTATTGTTTAAATCGAAGAATCATTGTCTAATAATACAAAAATAAAAATGTCTGCATATAGATCAAATTGTAATTTGCACAATCATACCCATATTCTTTGTCGTACATTCTTCTCAGGCCAAAGGTCTAGTTGCTCCTTGACAAACAAGGGAAACATGTACCCTTCATAATATGTCTCTTGGCTTTTGCTCATGAAACACCATTTTCCCAATTGACACTGCCATCGTATATTACAACATAAAATTAGGACAAATTTTTTGCCAAAATAGAATTTAATTCCGCGGTAGAACATTAATCCCAACATCAACAACAATAATTCGACTCTCGCCGGCCCACTTTCGCTCCTCAATCAAAAGCGAAAAGGGAAGGAAGAAAAAGGAAGATACCAACCTCAACATTGCCTAAAACACCTGCTTCTTCTAGTGACTCTCTTGAAGCAGCTTCTTCTACGGATTCATCAAGTTCCCAACCCCCCTAAGTAATAAACAAATATATAGTTGAATTTGATGGATATATAGAGGGTAGAAAGCAATCCGATACCTCAAGAAATAAAATTAGAAATGAAAGGAAATTATATAATTTATACCTTAGGGAACATAAATGCATTGCCTTTCTGTGAAGTGATCACAAGAACTTCCAATTCATCACTGCCATCTTTGTATCTATAAGGTATGCATCTGCAACATTGAATACTAAGCAAATTAAACAAACTATTAATCGTGATTACCTTTACAAAAATCTAAAATAAGGGAAGTCAATCGTCGGAGCAATAAAAAAATCATAAACCAAATGGAACTTAAATGGGGACAACACATATGGATTTGTTCGACATGGATCTATGAGTCCATCCCATGGCGACGAGAGATTCTCATGTACACGAGATGTACAACCAGGTATACGTAAGAATTTTTTCTCTCCGCCATGAAAGAAAAGGAACATGAATGGAAGGAGCCAACCACTACTTTTTCAACATAACAAAACCATGTCAACAAAAGCTCAACAACAACAAAAACAAGAAGAAGGAAAAGAGCTTCACCCTACGACTTGCCGGCGGCCC